TAACAAGTCTCCTTCCTCCTTTTTTGTTTTTTGTTTTTTTGGAGATTTTTTTTCTTCTCTCTCTCTCTCTCTCTCTCTCTCTCTCTCTCTCTTTTTTGTTGCTGCCTTGCAATTACTGGCAAAAAACTACCATCACTATGAAAAAATACACTCTTCCTCCTCTTCAGCACCTACATCAGCTGCTCAGAGTCCAACTCACCAGTCCAAAGCCGTAGATGCCGAAAAATACCAAAAAGATCTATAAATGACTCTTTTGGCAATACAAACATCTTTGCTATGCAAGCTATGCAAGCATCCCAAGAGGCTAAGCAAAATTCTATATCAAAATTAAGCTTAGAACAGAGGAATATATTAGCAGAACAGAGGAACATGTCAGCTGAGCAGAAAAACTTTGCAAATGCACAAAGAGAATGTCTTGACAAACTGGATAGCTCTGTTAAGGATGTATCAACTCAACTGGCAGATGTTCGACTTAAAACTGAACAGAATACACAAAAAATACAAAAAGCACATGAAAAAATTGAAATGGTAGACAAAGAAACACAATTAATAAAGCAAACAAACAAGTCATTATGGGATTCACTTGCTATATTAGAGATGGAGAAGGCATCTAATTATCTGAGGTTCCAGAATATACCCAAAGGAAAAAATGAGGACCTATGGGAATTAATAATTACCATGTTGGCAGAGTCGTTGGATCTGGAAAATGAAGAGGTGAACACAGGCATTGACTTAGTTTATAGGGTGAATTCAATTATGCCAGGAAACATAAACTTCCGAGGGAAGTCCATGTTAAATTTGCAAAAAGGTCTATAAGAGACCATGTTTTGAGGGCTATACATGATAAACCTTTAAAGGTGGATGATCATCATGAGGTGACTGTTTTGAAACAAATACCATGGAGGATTAGAGAAGGATGAAAGAAATATTTATTCTTTACTACAAAGCTGACTAAGAAAGAGATCATGTTTAGGTGGCTAATGCCAAAAGGAATATTTTTCACCTGGAACTCTACAAGATACAAGCTGGACTTGATCTTCAAGGCAGAAGAGTTTTATGAAAAATTTAGAAGTACATTTGAAGAGGAAGAATCGGGTGCCCCAAAAGAAGGAGGGAAAGGTGCTGAACCAATGGAACTAACAACATACCACTCTGAAGAAGGAGAAATAGTGCATACAGACTTACAACAAGAGGGTCAGACACTGGAACTAAAGGAAAAGAAAAAAGGTAGAAGTGTAAAGGCAAAGCATAAGTAGATAAATATATATTTTTAAAATATGGCTTTCAAAAGGGAAGGAAAAATTGAACTGCTCTCTTTAAACATAAATGGACTAAACAGACCTTCTAAGAGGAGAAGAGTTCTCTCTCAACTTCAAAAATGAAAATTAGATATAATTTGCCTACAAGAAACACATATTAAGAAACAACATAGTAAGCTTTTGGAATATTCAAAGCTTGGAAAGCTATTTATATCTTCCGCTCCCCAAAAGAAAAGAGGTTTAGCATTATACATCAAGGAAAAATAAGACCCTAAATATATATATTAGCTGATGAGGATGGTAGGATTCTGATGGTTGAAATCACAATGAAACTTAAAAAGGTGCTTTTAGTGGCGATCTATGCCCCAAACGAGCATCAGGAAAAGTTTTACCAAAAATTACATGATTTACTCTTACAATTGGACTACCAGACCGTGTATGTGTAATGGGAGACTTTAATGCAATCATGGACAAGAAAATGGACCATAAGAGTGAGATTAAGGGCAGAAAAGGCAGGAGGATACTTCCAAAGTCTTGTTCTAATATGATTGAAGAATTCAGATTGATAGATGTTTGGAGACATAAAAACCCAACCTCTGCTAAATATACTTTCTATTCGAATAGACATAGGTTGTGGTCTAGAATTGATATGGTTTGGATAACCCCAGACTTAGTGCCAGACTTGCTAGAAGCTGAAATACAGGCAAATGTCTGGGCAGATCACAACCCTGTAGCTATATCACTGAAAGGGACAGTAAAAACACCCAGATGGAGGTTAAACAAAGTCTTATTAAAGGATAAAAAATTCACAGAAGAGATAAATAAGGAAATGCAAATATTATTTCAAATAAATAAAACTGAAGAAACCTCTTTGCAAAATGTCTGGGATATAGCCAAAGCCTATGTCAGGGGGCTGATAATAACATACTCAGCAAAAATAAACAAAAGGAAAAAACAAGAACAAGCTAAAATAGTAGAGGAATTGACAAAATGTGAACAAGAATTACAGGAAGATCCATCCAAAAAAACCCTTAAGGTACAAATGAATATTCTAAAACATAAACTGAACCTCCTGGACACAAATGAACTCACTAAGCAAATGAAATTGACCAAACAGAATTTCTTTGAAAATGCTAATAAACCAGGGAGATGGTTAGCCTATAAAGTAAAGGAAGAAAGAGAGAAGAGACTGATAAGTAAATTGAAGGATGGAGAAGGACGACTGCAAGTACGAAGTATACATATCAAGAAAATAGTGGAATATTTCTTTGCAAAGCTATACCAGAATGATGAGATTTCAACCGAGAAAGTAAAAGAATATATTCGAAAGGGAGACCTGCCAAAGTTACTGAAGAAATACCAAAAAGTATTGAATTAAGAAGTAACAATCACAGAAGTAATAGAGGGCGTAAGCGACAAAAGAATGACAAAACTCCTAGCCCGGATGGGCTACCAGCAGAGTTTTATAAATCCTTTGAAGGAATTTTTTCTATGCTTCTTAAGGATATATGTAATGCAGAACTGTTAAATGCTAAAATACCAAATACCTGGACAGAGGCAAATATCACATTAATACTGAAAGAAGACACGGACTTGATGCAGATCCAAAATTACAGACCTATATCACTATAGGTCAGTTTTTGGGGGCAAAAACTTGGTCAGAGTCAGGTGGCGGGGGAGGGGGCGCGTTTGTCCTATGGGCACCAAGTAGAAATCTTCTTGCTCTAAAGTCTGGCTCTCACTGGGAGTTTCTCTCTTACGTGTGCTAATGACTCCTCCGAGTCGTTGGGCACGACAGTTCACAACCAAAATGGGTCGCGAACAAAAATTTCATAAAAATTTTGACTCAGGTCACGAACTCCGCGATCATGGACATCTCCCTACCCCACTGAGTGGGGAGATGGCCATGATCATGCTGGGGGTGGGGAGATGGCCGAGATTGCGCCTGTCTTTCCTGCATGAGCGCAACCAGGATCTCAGCCATCTCCCCCCACAGCATGATTGCACCCATCTCCTCCCAGTGTCCCTGAGTTCGTGCCTGAGATCGCACCCATCCCCCCTCTGTGTGCCAGGATGACGAGCACATGCAGGAATGACGGGCATGACTGCAGTTGTACTGGGGGGCGGGGAGATGGCTGCACTTGTGCTTAGTGTGGTGGTGGGGAGATGGCCATGATCTTTGTTGTTCTTTGTCACTTTGCTTCACATTTTTCTGATTAAAAAAAAAATAGTTACACAACGGATTAACCTTATATACATTGAACCTTATGGGGAAATTTAACTTGGCTCACGACCAATTTGGGTCATGACCAGAGTCCTGGAACGGATTAAGTTCGTGAGCCATGGTACCACTGTATAGAAATATAGGAAGAGAAAACACAGAAGATGAAACATATTTGTGAGGGAAATCAAATGTAGAGAGGCACAGTGAATGGCGATCAAAAGTGGACTGGCAAAACGGTGGGGACTCCACCTATTTATATGAGGGGGAGGGGGTGCAGACTTCCCACCAAAAACATTAATAAGCTGAGAGAATTTTCCCAAATACAGGCACTGTGCAGGCACAGGACCCTATGTGTGATGCACAGAGGCCACAACGAAGAACAGGATAACTTCATGTGAGGCAGTTGGTGCCAGGCCTTAAACTACTTATGGCTTTAAAGGTTAAAATCAATACCTTGAATTAGACTCTGAAAAGAATTGGCACCCAGGGCAGATCTTTCCATGTTGGGCTGATACAACCTTGATACCTTGTACTGCTTAGTTCGCAGCCTAGCAGTCCCAGTTTGCACCATATGTATGCTCTTTTAGGGTAGCCCTATGTAAAATGCATTGCAGTATTCTAAAAGTTACCAAAGCAAGGAGAACTGTTTCATGATTAATTCAGGAATGGATGCAACTAGCACACTTAACGTAATTGTTCTGACAAATGACCAAATCAGTTCCAATGCATGTCTAAATCAGTCCACAATGGAACTGTATGCAATAAGCCTTGTGTAACTGAAGTGTCTCTTCATGCAGTTGTGCAGTTTTAACCATACTGTCACAACCCCATGAAAGTATATTTGAGATAGGCATGGTCTAAATCCTTCAAATGTCTGGTTTAGTGGTACATTTTGACGTGGGGAACTCATCACCATAAACACCCAGCCCTCCAGAAGAGTCCCCAAAATCAGGCGGCAGGGTTGATTCTTACCAATGAATCAGTGAAAACAGTTTTCATCTTCTCCAGAAGCAGGTATTTTGTAAAGCTAATGGGTTTTAATTGCCCACTGAAGACTAAGCCGCCTCAAATAATTTGCATCACAACAAGGAATAATATATTGTTGTTGGGAAAGTTCATTTTCTTCCAGCTGCTGCAAAAATTGCAGGCAAGCCCAGAGGGAAGAGGCAGTTCTAAAGGCTGGTGATAGTAGCGGATGATGTCAGAGCCCTGCCTCCCCTATCACACAGCCTGCACTCACCACTGAAAGCCATTTCACATAAAGCAGCCATCTATAATGTTACAGCACCATGCTGTGATTGCTTGGATACTGATCTACATATGTTCCTACCACTTTAGGAAGAGGAAAAGCTTCCAAACAGAGTCAAGTATGGGAAATTAAAGCATACCCTTACCTATGGTGACTAGATTGCATTATCTAAATGTAGAAGTTTCATTATGTAAAATACAGAAAGAAAGCACAGATTTTTTTTACAATCTACAAATGTTATCACATTATAGAAATAAATGGAACTCACAAATTAATTGGCCTGTGTGGTGATGTGAAGGATCTCTTTTGAAATCTGTCCCAGAGACCTCCAACAACCTAAAATGATGATCAGAATGGTCTGTGTGTTCATTAGCTTTGTGTGAGATTGATAAAAACAATTATTATGATAATCACCATTTCTATTGTACTTTTCCAGACAGAAAAATGCTTTGTAAATTAGAACTCATTTATTGCAGCCCCAGCAGATTGGAAAACAGGATATGGTGCAACAGGTTGGATGAGTTTGGGTTACAATTTGAACTGATGCAGAAAATCATTGGTGGTACCCAGTTCTGGAGTTTTTGAAGGAATGAGAAGTCATACATTTCTCTAAAACCCTGTAGCAAGAACCTAAAGCTACCCTATCTATAACATTGTAGGCCCTTGCTATAGCTGCTGGGAAGAACATGGATGAAAAGAGTGTGAGTTGGAACTGTTGAGGCTTGTTCTGCAGCTAAAGTAGCTAAAATTGTCATGGGACAGGATCACTTCATTAGCTCTGGAAATGTTTGAACACTTGCTTCAAGGGTTCTTGGCAGGGAGTGCAATTCAGTTATCCTTCTTGGCAAGGGCTCCCCATGCCCATCTATTCACTTGCAGAGGGGAAAAAGGTATGCCAGGTGTCTCAGACTGGCCTTGCAGATACTGTGCAGGGTGCTCTGGTCTACTCAAACATCAGCTACCAGGAGTCTCAGTAGACGTCTTTCCCAACTTTGCTATCTCAGATCCTTTTATCCTGTGCACCAACTGTATGTCAGGTCTCCCCAACCTTGTGTCTTCCAGAAGAGTAAAACTACAATTCCCAACTTTCTTCAACCAGCACAGGAGTTGTAGTTCAACACATCTGGAGAACACGAGGGTGAGGATGGCTGGTATATGCTCTGCCACTGAACTAAGACCACTGAACTGTGGGTTGTTGTTTTTACAGCCAAATCCCTGTTGTTGCCACAGGTTGTAACAAATATCAGGATCCAAACATGTTACTACCCTCTCCCCACCAGTGCACTGACTTGGCTTATTTCGGCGACTGGTTCATATCGTTTCCTTGTAAAACACTGGGATACACAATCAGGCATTGGTTCAAGTGTAGAGTCTGGAGGCTTGCACTTGGGTGGCAACATTTTATCCCAGGGAACTTCTTCATATCCTCTAGAGCATTCATGAAAAAGGGGAAGAAGCAATTTGAAAGCAGTTGTTATATCGGTGTACCAAGCAGTCAACATCAGATGAATATGCAATGAATAGTATCATAATGCTATCTCAATGGTGCTTTAAGAGGCAATTGCCTGGATATGTAGGGAAAAATGGAAGAGGGCTGGGGTTTAAAGGAAAATAGACTAAGATGGGACAGCTTCTTTCAGGATCATATAATACCTCGGTGTAATGAAAAGCAATGTTTAAAAAATATCTCCAATATGGCTACTGCATAATATGTGAAATGTCAAGCTGAAATAGGAATATGCAATTTCCTGGGTTCTTTTATGGATGTCCATTCATACAGCAATATATAATAGCAGAGTGGCAACTATGGGTATGGAAATCCTTACACAGCCATGCAAGGAAACCAGCAGAAACCACTCACAGAAACCAGCAGCTTTATCTTTCCTGCATAGTCCATAGCATACCTGATTCAGCCACTTGGCTTTGGGTCCTTTGTCCACTATCAAGGATTTGCCTGATTTCAGGTGAACACAAAAATGGAGGCCATGTTTTGGGGTGAAGGATGAAATGGCTCGTGCCATTTCAGTGGAAAGGATGTGTTTACAGTGGCAACAATTACTTCTTTTTCTCCCCTTGCTCTTCTTTGATTGTTTAAAAGCTGCTGGCTCTCAGTCCTCCAAATAGCTTTAGTGGTATGAGAGTCAGCATTATAAAATGTGTGTGCATGCAAGAAGAGCCTTCAAAATCTTTGCCAATAAGAGCCAAGAGACATTTCTGCAGGTATAAAATAAGGGAACAGTATCCCTTACTGTGTCACTCCTACCCATAGGAACAAGTGAGAACGGGGGACCATTCAATAACAGGGAGTATTAAAATGGGATTTTCTTGTGGCCCTTGGCTAAATGTGATCTCTCTCTCTCACTGGTGGCCCAATAGTTTAAAGTCAAACTTCCTCCTATCTGCATAGCCCTATCCTGGATTCTGCTTCTATACCATGCTAAAGTGTGGTGGGAACTTGGGGCTAAACCAAATGCAACTGTATATGTGTGGCATGCAGCCAATCCTAACTTTTTTTTCACGGGAGCCAAAAAGTATAGCCCATTGTTTGCATGCATTTTGCCAAGCCATTTCTGGCAGCCCATCCAACTCCTTTCAGCTGCCAAGTGGCTCTTCCTATTCCTTGCATTTCTTTGATCTCCTCTTTCTTGTGAAAACCTCTCTCACAGAGAAAAGTACAATGGGTGAGACTCAGCATTGACAGGGGACAGACTGCAGGTATCTGCACTGCTGATGTCATCTGGCCTGCCAGAAAAGTTCCTGACTCCTGGATGTGAACATTGACAGGCAAGGCAACAGGACAGGGAAACAAAGTATAAAATATACTTTTTGCTCACCTTTGGGTTGTTGAGATATACATATACTTTTGAGCTCTTGAATCTCTGCAGATTTCAGAAGGATCACTTGACTTCATATGAAAGCACAGTAAAAGATCCAAGCATACAAAAGAATATAGAGATTAGAGCTTCAAGTGGATTATTTTCTAAACTCTGATTTATCAAGCACACAGATATAAGATCAAAATGGCTGCCATTCATGGTGGTTATATAGCATCTGCTGTGTTGAAGACACTGTGACTCCAAATAGTGCTTGCTGGGGAACATATGTGGAAGAGCACTGTTACATTCACATTTTACTCATGGGTTTTCTACAGGTGGCCTGTGGCCAGTATGAGAACAGAATGCTGGACTTATTAGGCCTTTGGCTTGGTTCAGTATGGCTCTTCTTGCGTTCCTACAGTTGCCTTTTTTTAAGCCTGTACTTCTGTGCCTTAGGTAAAAGGTAAAGGTAAAGGTTTCCCCTTGACATTAAGTCCAGTCATGCCTGACTCTAGGGATGATGCTCATCTTCGTTTCCTAGCCGAGGGAGCCAGCGCTTGTCTGCAGACAGTCTCCGTGGTTATGTGGCCAGCATGACTAAACAAAGTACACAGAACACGTTACCTGCCCACCAAAGTGGTACCTTTTTATCTACTTGCATTTGCATGCTTTCGTACTGCAAGGTTGGCAGGAGCTGGGACGGAGCAACGGGAACTCACCCCATTGTGCAGATTTGAACCGGCGACCTTTCAATCAACCAGCCCAGCAGCACAGTGGTTTAAACCACTGCGCCACCTGCAGTCCCATAAAAGGTAAAGGTTTCCCCTTGACATTATGTCCAGTCATGCCTGACTCTAGAGGGCGGTGCTCATCTCTGTTTCCTAGCCGAGGGAACCAGCGTTTGTCCGCAGACAGTCTCCATGGTCATGTGGCCGGCATGACTAAACACTGAAGTGCATGGAACGCTGTTACCTGCCCACCGAAGTGGTACCTTTTTATCTACTTGCATTTGTGTGCTTTCAAACTGCAAGGTTGGCAGGAGCTGGGATGGAGCAATGGGAACTCACCGCATTGTGCAGATTTGAACCGGCAACCTTTCAATCAACCAGCCCAGCAGCACAGCATTTTGAACCACTGCACCACCTGCAGTCTTTCTGTGCCTTAGACAAGCACATAAATTTAACAGGTAAAAGTTTTGTTTCATTGCTCAAATTATGGTAGAGAAGGTCTTAGTGATGCCTTCTGATTTAGCCAAATTATGAAACTCCTTTTGCCTTTAAACAGAAGTTGCTAAGGAGGACATCACAGAATGGTAACTAGGCCAGCCCCTTCTGCCTTTGCTCACCCTACTGCTTCTTAGAGCTCACCTCCATGACAAGAAACGTGTCAGGGTCCTAGAAAAGATCTGTCTGCATCAAGTTGCTGTGAAAGACATAGAAGCAGGCAGGAAAAAAATAGCAGTTCTACATACATGCAAAATATTTGTTGGCTTTTCTACCTGTAATTAACTTTGAAGCTATTTTGCACTTTTAGTATAGGTGCAGCCATGTTTGTTAATGTGTAGAGTATAATGTAGTCAATCATCCAAAGGCATTTAGAGCAGGTGAACTGTTTTAGTGTGTGAAAACTTCAGAAACAAATTGGATTACAATTCTCCAGACACTAAAAGAGTGGGAACATCCCTCCTTACCTCACTGTCAACTGAAATTGCTTGCATTTTGAGTATCATGGCTGTGCAAATAGAAAGAGAAAAAACACAGGATCTACACAGAGCAGTTTTATTTGTGCTCAAATTTTGGGTTTACTTTTACAGCAGGCTAAAACAATCTATTCCTCTTTATTTCGCAGGTGTCATAAACTTAAATAAGTATGTTTCAAAGGTCACTTTTTCTTACTGTTACTAAAGAGAACCACCACACTAATACAAAGCATATTACACAGCATAGCAGCTGTTATTCAGAGAGATACCATGTTTTTCAGCATTAAGTTTAGATAATACAGGAATTGTGCTGGCAAAATTGTTTACTCCCTTTTATAAATATCATTTTAGCTTCAGAGGCTATACATCCACAATGACATTGATTTGAAAATATGTTCCAGGTTTATGTAATTGACAGAATCCAAAGCAGTAAACAAAATTACCTTAGCATCTGGGTCCACATTAAATGCAAATGTGTGGGGTGAGAAGCATTCTTTGGTTTGAGGTGGTGCAGGTAGAACTTTTACAGGGCTTGTCCATCCTGAAAGAAAATATTGTGCTATTTAATTTACTGCAGCACTTAAGATTCTAACTTAACTAGATTGCAGAGGGATGACCATCTTTGGTGAATTCTTTTGGCACTCAAAGACTAAAAAATATATAATGCCATTCAAGTCCTTTAAGTTAATCTTTAAGGAACCATCAGAGAGCATTTATATTGTAATGTACAAACTAAGGTAGTTTACAAGGGCAATAATAGTGTAACAATGATGGTTATAATAAAGCCTTTGGTGTTGATTGGCTAAGTCAATGTTATGCCATGAGAATATTCTGAAACATGCCATTTTATGGGGTGGGGGGAAGATGTCAGCAACTTCATGGCTGAAGCAGACCTAGGTTGCTCAAATTAAAACTGAACTCTTGCTCTAGCTTAGTGAACAGGGGAAATAAGAAGTCATGTGTACTTTTGCAAACACTATAACCAGGTCTGAGTTGGCTGGGTAGACAAGCTGTATCCCATCTCTTATAATATATGCAGACAATAATTACATTGCATTAATTAGTAAACTTTTTATCATTATAGTGGAAACGCAGAGAAATAAACTTATCAGAGATAAGCTGGTGCTTTTAGTGGAGGAGAGATCATGCAATGCCAGGATTGGATGGATGTGTTTGCTCTGGCAGCATTCTTGAATGCAATACATCACTTTTTTCAATTAGGATTGAATAGCAGTACAGAAAAAAATGCAGTGTGGCTGCCCAAACCCTCCCTAAAATGTCAGTCCATCTGCAATAGAAGAAATGGTGGTGGGTTGGGTGGAGTTGTTCAAACATAAAACAGTCAGTAAGGAAAGGGTTAAACACATAACCAACCCCTCTTTGTAGCCTGTTGGCAGTGTGCAGTGTGACAGGAATGGTAATATACATTGCCTTGTGTGGCCTCAGGGGCATCTAACACAACACTAATAGTGTTAGTAATGCTATAGGATTCCCTGAAAAAAACCTGTCATATCACGAAATGATACAACTGATATTGCACTAGAAGCTTCTACGGTGAGTGTAATGTAATTTCTATTAGTGCATGTGTTTCATTAGATACTTTCCTTTGTTTATGGCTTTTCATTAAACAGAATAATGTTGGGGAAACATTGCATGAAATTCTGCATGTATACATATTTGGCCCTTAAAGCAGAGGTGGGCAGAGTAGTAACATTGCCAGATATTTGGTACTTTAACTTGCAGCATTTCTGACCAATGGGCATGCTGGGAGCATCTTCTGAGAGTCAGAATCCTCAAATATCTGAAGATCTAACTTCTGCCCAAACTAATGGGATGCCAGTGGTCATTCAGAAAACTGTTTAGCACTAGTTTATGAATTGATCAAAACTTCATGTTGTGACATTCCCGCAAAGAATATAGTAGTAACAATGAAAACAATAATGCCAATACAATTTACCTCCAATTTTTGACCTGATAGAAATGTCTGGCACTGCTCTGGAGTTCCATCGATGGTCTTGCTTTATCTCTTCCAATTGTAATGACCGTCTTCCATCAGCGGTCTGAACTCTCCTGAGGGGAACAGGTGCACACCCTGGAGGCTGCCAATCTTTGTCATTCCTCAGGGATTTACCATACTTGATTTGCTGTTCGGCTTCAGCTCCAGGGCTCACAAATCCAGAGAAAGCATTAATTCCTGGCACATCATCCCGGTGTGGAGCTAAAATGTAATGTTTATCTTCAGGAGGGATGAAAGGATTGGATTTAAGAAAAGCATTACTGTTCTTGTCTTGAAAACTAGCAAAGGAATGTTTATCTTCAGGACCCCTCACAAAAGGCATATACATTTTCCTTAACAGACCTTCATACTGCTTCCGATGCATCTTGTGAAGGGAATCAACAGGATTTAAGTGTTTAACTGGACAAAAGTGTCTTGCAGTGACCTGAGAAGCCATTATTATTTTTGTATTGTTTCTAGTTAATCACAGGTTATGGTTGTTCTCTGAACCTTACCAACAACTCTTGTTAAAACAAAAAGTAATTTACCGAAAGGCACAGAGACATTGCCAAAAAATTCTGATAATTACTGATTTAAAAGTGTTTACTTCTGTCAGTTCAAAATAAAAGCAAATAGCAAGCAGGAAAGGAATTAAGTTGTCAAATGGGCAGAGAGTCCCTGTTGCTTAGCGACAATGGAACATGAGCACACAATGAAACTTATAGTCATGCATTTCATGGTGATTTGAATCCAAGAGAAAAAGCAGTGAAGCAATCCTTGCCCTCTGTCTGACACACAAATGAAATGTTTTCTGTCTTTCATAGTAAAATATTTTAAACTTTATTAAAGTGTTGTTGTTGTTAGTTGCAAAGTCGTGTCCGACCCATCGCGACCCCATGGCCAACATTCCTCCAGGCCTTCCTGTCCTCCACCATCCCCCGGAGTCCACTTAAGCTTATACCAACTGCTTCAGTGACTCCATCTAGCCACCACATTCTCTGCCATCCCCGTCTTCTTTTGTCGTCAATTGTTCCCAGCATTGGGCTCTTCTCCAGTGAGTCCTTCCTTCTCATTAGATGGCCAAAGTATTTGAGGTTCATCTTCAGCATCTGGCCTTCTAAAGAGCAGTCAGGGTTGATCTCCTCTAGGAATTAAAGTGTTAGTCTACCCCAGTGCTTTTTTTGTAAGAAAAAGGGTGCCGGAACTCACATCTTGTTAATCTTTTATTTAAAAATTATATATTCAGTTCTTAAAAAATTTAATTAATTGTATTTAAGGGATATGTTCATAGTAAATTCCAAAGTTTTGTCCAATTCTCATCTGACAAATCTTCTCGACTCCTTTCCCTGCCGTTAGTATCTATGTGTTCTGTCATTGTGTCTGTTAATATTCTGACCTTTTTATTAGCAGGACTGGTGGTTGAGAAGTAATTAGTAATTTTTTTCATTTTTAAATTTGGAGTCACACTTTTACACTAAAAATTAAAAAAAGATTTTCAATTCATCAACTTTTTAAAAATAAATTATTTACCTTTCGCATGTAGTCAATCACTGTACACACACCCACACGCATCTGTTGTGTAACGAAACATAACAGTCACTGCCCGCAGTAAGCACTCAGCGTGCGACCACATGACCAAGCACAAGCCGAGCAGCACCACAAGCTGAGCAGCACCATCACAACCAGTGCGGACGAAGTACACATGCATCGGACTCAACACACAAGCAGCCCGCATGCACCATTTTAATGATTTTGCCGCTGACCTGCTACGCTCGACAGGGCGATTCAAATCCACGTGGACCAAACATCAAATTTTCAAAAGTTACTTTTAAACTTGGAAAATCATCAAAAAAAGGTGCCAGAACTCTGTTCTGGTGTGTTCTATGACAAAAAAAGCACTGGTCTACCCTATATCCAGGTTCAGAGTAAGTAAATCATCTTTATATCATATCCCTTTGTCCTACAGCTGGATGGAAAGCTAGGAATAGTGGGCTTCCAAGTTCTCCGTTTCCCACAACAGCACTGGGTTTTAAACCATCCAGCACTAACTCAGAATCAGACTCTGCCTTTTGAGATGTAGGTGCCACAGTAGCTAGCTTCAGCATTACCTGGGTTAGAACATAAGAAAGTAAGAAAGGCCATGCTGGTTCAGATGAAAGGAAGTCCCATGTAGTCCAGCACTCTGTGCCCATGGTGGTAAACCAGCTGCCCACAGGATCCATCAAGAGGGATGGGTACCAGACCTCCTGCCCAAGTTCCTCAGTAACTGATATACTGAAGGCATGCCACCTCTGGTAAAGGAGCCAGGAGGGTTGGTCCTAGAAAAGGTATTGCCTAACTGTGGATTTTGGAACTTGTTTAAAATAAAACATAGCACTTCCTTTGAGTCTCTCAAGTCTCCTTGCATAGAACATCAAAGTCCAGACTTCTGTTACATGTCTTAACTACATTTGTCAAATGTCAATTTTTTTTCGGGTGGCGATCCCACCAGGCAGAATGCCCCCAATAACTAAGCAACCCAGCAACTCCAACAACTACTATGCCAAGTATCAGACTATACACATACCTGGACATTATTATTGCTTCATTTGAAGAATACAAAAACATTCTCATTACAAGTCATACTTTCACTGTTCTGAAGCTTCAAAATCTACGTTACACAAAAGTGTGTGTGGGCATGTACAGTGGGGGGGGGGATCAAAATAGAGCCAGTGTAATATAGAGGTAGGTTTTTGGTACTTGTCTCCCAGCCCAATTTTCCTCCCAAGATTATGCCAAGGACAAAATGAAATATCAGTGGCAAAGCCTCTTTGACGTGCCTCATTTCTTGAACTTTTCTATTTTTTCCCCTTTATACAGAACTCAATTCTCCAAATGTGGAATGCACACAAGAGAAAGGGTAGCAGGAGTATGGGAGAAGAACACAGGGAACAAATGTCTAAGCACAACCTAGTGAGGGCTGGCCATGCTGCATGGGTATGGAATCCAAAATGACAATGTGTGGGTGTGCATGCGTGCATCCATGTGTGTGCATGTAAGTGTATGGTAGGAACAATTGGACATAATGGACTATCTTGAACAAAAGCTCTGCCTCACTTTCCCCTCCCTAATTCTGTTCCATTGCTGCTGTCCTACATCTCTCTATATACATTATTATGATTCACCAATGACTTTGCTAGCTAAGGCTGCTGGGAATTGTAGGCCAAAACATCTAGAGATGCACAAGCTATGTACCCCTGCCCTATGGATTACATCCATGTAATACAGGATGTCCATAAAGTCTGTGTGCAATGTAAAATACCTGTAACTTTGTAACTACACACAATAGAAACAAACTGTAAAAAGGATTAGAAAGCTTGATGTATCAAGTTTTTTTATCTTTAGAAATTTTAGTCAGCATTTGTTTTACACAATATGTTTAACAATTGCTTGAAATTTAAAATTCCTTATTTTTCAGAATTACTGTTGACCCATGGCTTCACTAGAAGAGAAAGTAAACTGTGTTCTTTGGTTGGCCAAACTAAAATCTACCACCGCTGTCCAAAGGTTTAGAACCCAGTACAAGAAAGAAGCACCATACAGGAATTCCATATCCAAGTGGATGAAAAGGTTTAAAGAAACAGGTTCTGTCAATGATAAGCCACGGTCTGGTAAAGCTATGTGTTTGACTCCATTAGATTTGACTCCATTAGATTTCTTTTTATGGGGACATGTGAAAACTAATGTTTGCTCAACCAAACCTCGATCTGTAGAAGACTTGCAAGCTGGGATAACTGATGTTGATTGCTGGCATTACTAAAAATCAACTTGAAAATGTTTACCGAGAACTACAGACTTGTATTACTGTTTGTATTAGTAATGATGGTGGACATGTTGAAAATTAACAAGAACAATAAAAAATGTAGTGTTTCTTCTTTCTTTTGCTTTTTAGATTGTTTCTATCACGTGCAGTTACAAAGTTACAGGTATTTTAAATTGCACATGGACTTTATGGACACCCTGTACATTAAAAATGGATTTTTAAAAAGCTGATCAAATGTTTCAATGTTACTTCCAAATGCCCTGATAAAGATTTTATAAAAAGATAGTAACAGTATAATATTTAGATTTATCACTGATAAATAATAAATCTAAATATTCCATTGATAACACTGTTGTCCATTGATAAGCCCATTCATTGATAACACTGTTGAATAGGATATTTATAACATAAATGAATATTGTGGTAAAAAGCACAGCCAAACTTCTCCAAGTCTTTCAATTTTAATTTGTCTTCATTGCAAGAACTCAGGTCCGATACAAATGAAATGATAGTCTTGTGCATATGCAACTTGTCTTCAGCATTCACTCCCTGGATATTGCAATGCTAAGGAGGATTTATAGGACAAAGAGCTTTCAGCCTATATGTTTTTAAAAATTATTTTTGCAGGGACAATTATTTAAAAGACACTGCATTCTTACAAATTCCATTCATCCCAAAGAAAAATGAACGTTCTTATTTCCCGCAAACCACTCTTCAGAAGTTTCCTAGCTGGCTAGTGTTGCTTGTTACTCCTTCCCTGCAGGCTTCCCACTTGGCTGTGATTGTTACAGAGAATTAATATTTCAGAAATTCTGTCTACATAGGCAGAAAACTAACCATGTTGTTTGTCATTTTTTTGTGGAGGCAGAATTCATTCAGTGTTGGAACTACAACCAGTTCTGTCTTCAGTTTGAAAAAATACCTTGTTGGGAGTAAGTACTTTTGGAAACAATATCGAGTATAGTTAAAAAAAAATCAATCCTAATAAAGCTGTAGAATCAACCTAACCAGCGTAAAACTTTTAAAGAAATGGAATACGTTGTATTATTTTTTCATTAATATTCCAGTAGCTTTAGAATAATTGCTGTGTAATTTTCAATTAAGTACTAATTAATTTAACTGAATGCATAAGAGGTAACAATTACTGCCTTCAGTGATTTTTAAATATCTTGATAACATATGTAGTATTTGTGCAAGATCCCTTGGTGCCTTTTTTTCTGTAATCCACTTTTTAACAACAATAAATACTGTATTCCAATAGCTTTAATATTTATTAAAGAAATCAAAGCTGCAATTTTATAACCACTTGCCAGGGAGTAAGCCTCATTGAAGTTAGCATGACTTACTTCTGAGTGGTAAAGAATTAGCAAGAATTACTTGATAATTAAAATCATCTCACACAATGTGGCTTGTGCTGATAAATTCTGCAAAATCCTGTGTTGTTTTCCCCACTGAAAGTCACAACAGTCTGTCCATAATTTGTCATGTTACAATGCAGCAAAGAGTAGGCACCCAATACGGACATCTATTAATTAATGTTTAGACAGAAAGCCTCCAACATGCCCTAGCCAGCATTTAGCCAGCTGCAGAAAAAGTAACTGACTCGTGCCACACGACAGGATAATGCAGAAAAATACCGATAACTATAACAATCC